ACTGTTCCCTGCAATCATCTCTGAATGCAAATCTGATCACCCACCCCCACCCCTGCCTACAACACTCCCTGTTGCACTCAGAATGAAAATGCAAGTTACTTAATATGACCTGGAAAGTCCCCAGTGACCAGACCGAACCACATCTCTCTTCACTCTCCATTTCTAGCCTCCCCGCCACAGGGCCTTTGCACATGCTGTTCTGTTTTCCTCTGCTTTGCCTGGCCAGCTCCTATTCATTCTCCAGTTCTTGCTTAAATGTCACTTCCTCCAAGAAGTCTTCCCTGACTCCCCCATAGCTCCCTGTGCTCCCTGTTTATGGCACTTATCAAAATTATAATTGCTGGATTATTTGAGTGGTTAGCTTTTTAGTGATCATCTCCTCTACTACACTGTGAGTTCCAGGAGGACAAAGCCACAGGTGGGGGCAGGCTTCCAGGTGCTAGGGAAGGGACTCACTTGACACTATCATTTCTGTGTTTGGCAGAATAATGGCCCCCCCAAAGATGACCACGTCCAAATCCCTGTAACCTGCAAATATGCTATACTACATGGCACAGGGATATTAAGGTTGCAGATGGAATTAAGACTGTTAATCAGCTGACCCTGAGATGGAGAGATTAGCCTGGGTTATCCAGGTGGGACCAACATAATCACAAGCATCTTCGTAAGAGAAAGGTGAAACCAGGAGAGGCAGAGTCAGAGTGAAGCAATGTGAGAAAAACTTGACCAGCCCCTGTTGGTTTTGGAGATGGAGGAAGCGGGACACGAGTAAAGGGATACAGTTGGCTTCTAGAAGCTGGAGAAGGCAAGAAAACAGATTCTGCCCTAGAAGTTCCAGCAAGGAATGCAGCCCTGCTGACACCTGGATTTTAGCCCAGTGGGACCCATTTCAAACTTCTGACCTCCAGAACTGTAAGAATACGCTTCTGTTGTTTCAAGCCACCAAGTTTTCAGTGACTTGTTACAGCAGCAATAGGAAACTAATACAACTTCCATTATATGGATGTGGAAAACTGAGGCTCAGAGAGGTTAAGTAACTTGCCCAAGGGCACACAGCTGGTGAATGGCAGCATCAGGCTGGTGAAAACCCTAAGTGCATGATTTTCATTACTTCTACATGACAAGAGGTAGGTCTGGCTGGAAATGGAGTAAATTTTCAGGCAATATCTAAGATAATTCTACATAAAAACTTTTGTAATTGGTTGTTTCAAGTTTCTCTCCCTGACGGACTGTGAGCCCCCAGAAGAGATGTGTGACCATCTTACTTACTACTGCATCCCAAGTGCATAGAATAGCGCCTGGTGCATAGTCGATGCTCAATGATAAAGACCTCACTGAGAAGGTAACATTTCAGCAAAGATCTGAAGGAGGTGAGTGAGCTATGAAGCTATTTAAAGCAGAGGAAACAGCAAGTGCAAAGGCCCATTGGCAGGACCACACCTGGTGATTTTGAGGAACTACAAGGAGGCCGGTGTCGTTGGAGTACAGTGGATAAAGGGAGAGTGGGAGGAGGTGACATAGCCAGATCATGCAGGATCTGCTGGACCACTGTAAGACTTCAGCATTTTATCAGAGCAAGAGGGGAGCGTGGGAGAGTTTTGAGCAGAGGAAGGACAGAGCATGACTTTAACATGATCCTTCTGGCCGTTGGTTGGAAGATGCACTGTAGAGGGACAGAGGCCGGATGACCAGGGAGGAGGTGACCACACTTGTCGAGGTGAGCGATGATGGTGGATACAACCCAGGTGGGAGCTATGGAAAGCTAGGATTCTGGATTTATTTTGAAGGTAACGTTAACAGGATTTGCCAGTGGATG